GGCAACCCTGCGTGAAACATGAGAGCTTTAGTAGTATCAAGAAGATGACGATGTTTGCGCTCAACTACCCCATTTTGCTGGGGAGTGTCAGTGCAAGACGTTTGGAGAATTATCCCGTGTTCCTCATAATAATCCAGCAACCGTGACGAATTGAACTCGAGACCATTATCTGCCTGTATCCTGCGTACCTTCTTATACTGCATAGTGACTTGGTTGCAAAAAAGAAGAAGGTATCGAGCTGCCTCTGACTTATATTTCAAGAGATAAATCCATACACACCAACTATAATCATCCAAGATTGTAAGAAAATAATGTGCACCCGTGAGTGAAACTTGACTGTATCTGCCCCAAATGTCGACATGGATTAATTCAAAACAAGAAGTTTTGATGCTATTGCTCTCGAAAGGAAGACGAGTTTTCTTTGCCCTTAGACAAGATCCACAATGATCACTACTATGAACAATGGAATTCCGAAGTAAAGGTGCTAAAATTGACAGTTTCTCAAAAGACAGGTGGCCTAGTCGTGAATGCCATCGTCTGGTGTTCTGACATGCTCGACTCGCAAAGAGGGCTACATGATGATCTCCTTGTGGCAAACGCAAGTGGTAAAGTCCATCAACATGAATCCCCGTTCCAATCAGCTACCTGGAGTGTAAGTCTTGAATTACACAAAAGTCATTGATGAAAACCAGCGCTACCGGTAGATCGGTTGTTAGGCGAATGACAGATAGAAGATTGCACTTGAAGTTAGGTACGTGCAAGACATGATTAAGTATAAGACCATTATCCATCTTGGCCTTTCCTATACCCTTGACCGGAACACCCTTTCCTTTGGGTATCTTAACCTGTAGACCATTGCTCATCTCGAGCTCATTCAAAAACACGGAAATATCCTTAGATATATGTTCATTACACCCAGAATCAATAACCCATGAATTTTGATTGAAATCGAGAGTGGGAGAGACCGTACCTGTCATGTTGACGGTGGGAGTTGCTGGAAGCTTTGTTTCTGCAGTTAGGAAGGCTTTTAGTTGCGCGAGCTGGGCCGCGGTAAGGCCTGGGATACTGCTCTCGCTGGAGTTGACCTGAGCAGCTCGCGGGGTGATTCGCTATGACAAAACTCCTAACAATGGCCAAGTGTAACCAATGAAAGGGACTGCAGTATAGTGGCTCAAGTAATAAATATCGAATCCATGGGTCTCTAGAGTTACTATTACTCAGCTTCAGTTCATTATCTAAAATCAAATTAAGATAGAACGACTAAAACTACTCTAGCAAACTACAATTAAAGTTAATCTAATTACAGGTTGGGAACTCACTTAGGTATGATTCCCCCTAGCCACTAGCCAGATTAATGATTGATGATTTCTAACTTGTTTCACTTTCATTCACAATGCGGAGAATCCTTGACTAGACCTTGAATCTCGACTAAAGGATCAAGGCCCTCTTGAGTCAATTGCCTAGAGGGACGTATCCTTCTCTAGAACAACCGATCAAGGAGTTCTGAACTAGACTCCCTCTATCGAATGAGGTTCTCAATCGATACAAAGCAGTGAATCGACCCTCGACTAAAGCAATCGATCCAATACTATCAATCTATGGTGCTCTATTGACCTAATCAGGTATTCGCTCTCATAGGATTAAAGCAGAATCAATAATCTCGACTAAAGCAGAATTGAATCGTGAAAACGTGCATAGATTGAATATGAACTCAAGATTATCAAGTAGGAGTACTCATACAATCATCCAATCAAACAAACATAGCTAGGGTTCCTCAAAACATAAGTGAAGGGAAGTTACTCCATAGAGAAGAGAGAGACTGCAGTAAGAATCTTCAGATGATCAGTCTTCAAGTCCGGGCTTGTTCCTCGAGCTTCCAAGGCGAATAAATCCTCCAATTCCACTCCAAGAATGCCCTCAAATCTCCCTCTCTCTCTTTGGTTAATCCCTTGGGTATTTGGGATCCAAAACCCAGCTCTCCCCTTGCAAAAACGCACACAACAGGCTTTTAACAACCTGCGTTCGCCATCCCCGGTCAGAATACCCGATCGGGTATTTTAGGTGGCTGGCCAGGGATTGTTGAAATGCACTATCGAGGACAGGGGATTAATCCCGGGTCAAGGTCAAGAATACCCGACCGGGGATTTATGCTCAATGTCCGGGCCCCCTTCTGCTTCTCAAACGCCCAAAAGTGATTTTCCCCAGTCTGCTTAGATTAATAACCGGCCGGGTATTTTGCTCCTACAGCACACTTCAACTCAAACGTGCTCCTTTCGACCCGAAACTCGTTTGTTCACCTCGATGCCAATGACAAGCCCTGAAATATGACATAAACACACAACCTAGCGTGAAATCGACTTAAAACACGAGAATCAACATCTCAAATGACTCAAGAATATATGTAAAAACATGTGCAATCAATGGTCTATCACGGGAATCCAGACCGGTTGCCACGTCCACGACCGCGCCTTCCACGTTCTCCACGATCAGTGGATTGATTCCTACTCCCATCAGATTCACTCGGCCAACCAATTATCTCCTAGCAAGTTTCTTTCTAGTGCCCTGCCTTCTCACAGTGAGTACACCATGGCCTACAATCCGCAGTGCGATTTGTCGGTAAAGGGGACTCCCCCTGGACCTTAGAGGAGGGGTTTCCCTGAGCCTGTAGTGTTGCCGCCTCGACATTTGGACGACGACTATTCATAATGAGGCGCTGTTGTCATCATTGCTGACCATTTGATATGCTTCCACAAGAGTCCGAGTGGGTTTCATGGACAAGACTTGACTTCGAACGATATTGAAAACATCATCTAATCCAATTAGGAAATCGAAAATCCTGTTGCTATCTTCAATATCACGCATTCGTTTTTCGATTTCACAGGTACAGTGGCCGCAGGTATACTTGGGTGCTGGAGAGATTTCTTGAATTTCGTCCCAAAGGCTGCGAAGATTAGTGTAGAAGGCAAACACGCTTGCCTTTTCTTGTTGATGAAGAGCTATGGATCGACGAAGTTGATATAGGCGCGCCATACTCCCCATGCCAAAAAACTCTTTGAGATTAGACCATATTTGTTGTGCGGTTGCAGCATACTGCACGCTTTGGCGAACCTCACGGGACATTGAGTTCTTTAGCCATCCCATGACCATGGCGTTACAACGTTCCCATGCATCTTGATGCCAATCAGCTTCAACCTTGACGAGTTTGCCTGTGACAAATCCCAATTTGTTCTTTGCTAAGAGCGCTTAACACATATTAGCTTCCCATTCGCCATAATTTAGCTCGGTGAGTAACTCATCCACGAAGACATGACCCGGTTGATCAGACGGGTGTAAGAAATACGGTGAAAAAGGCTCTGGTCCGTTCTTCATAACTCCAGAAGAATCACTTGATTCCTTCGTCTTGCCAGCCATGGAGATGAAACCCTAGAAGAGACAGCCGATTTAAGAAGAGAGAACTCGGCAGAACACAGAAGTTGGATCGCTCAAAGCCATGGCTCTGATACCATGTTAAAATCGACAACACGGAATAGAAAACAATCACAAAACAACGAGAATTTTACGTGGTATCCATGTTCGATGTGAACAGGACTAATCCACGGAGAGCTTGAAAGAGCTCTCGACTATGACTTATTATTGATGATTGACAACTGACTTAGCAAGTCTAGCTTGCTATTTATACAAAAGGAAGACATCAACCGAGACCTTTCCTTGTCGGCCAAGTAAAGGAAAGAACATGGGAGATTGACAACTCCTACTAGGACACGGACCACTCCACAATTACCTTGTGGTCCTATTACATTGACAAAGTGACATTCTACACACAAGGACAACAAAAGCCAAGGTATTGCCAGAACTAGTTTTGGCAGCACCAAGGACATCCCTCTCCCAAAGAGCGTGGGGAAGGGAAGTTCTCTGAATCTCTGTCATATTGACGAAACCACTCTTCTTCAGCGCGTCCAACATCTTCTTCGATAGCGGCAATTTGTTGAACTTCGTCGCTGCGGGATATGCAGAGAAACTGTCGTCATGGAGGCGTCCGACCGCTGGTCTGGCAACAGTTTGAGAGCAAGAGGGTTAGAACCAGACCCGGGGTTTTGGGACTCAATATAGTCTTTCAATAAGGAGATTTCAACCAACTCTAATGACCACCCGCTTTTTTCGATATGCCTTGGACTTGGACTTCGATTTGTTTCCCATGGTCGTTGCTTGTAAACAATAAAGGATCTAGTGATGGGTGAGTTTTGGGTGAGACACAAAGATAGGAGCAGTGGAGGTCGAGATTTAGGGTTTATGGGGATGGATTCACTAACTGTTTATTCACTATTGTGACACAGTTGAACCCGGTTTGAATTGTTACTTGGATGTGGCATGTATATGTTCCGTTGGAATAACCGGTTCCTGTCAAATTGTCAATTAGATAAGTAAAAATCACTAATATTGAATAAATGTAGACATATACATCATAATTGAATTCAATATCTCAAAATTTACATATTTAAATAAAATATAACTTTCACAAAATAAAAATTCTCATATTTAAATACAACATTTACCCAGCATTCGAATGTTTATATTTGAATTCAACAAATAACGAAAATATTTAACTTTCAAATTTATTGTTCATTAAATTCACCCAAACGACATCATTTTATTTAGAATTCGAAAAACAGTCATGCCAGTCATACCATATGCATTCCAACCGGTACTAGCTAAACTCAGTTGTACCGACCGACATGCCACTGGTTTGTTATGCCTATGGTGATAAGGACTACGGTGCGCGCTTCTGCTTTCTTGCCGTTTCTTTGGTGGTGGGCTGTGATTTCTGATAAGAGTTGAAGCATTGCTAGCTGTTGTGTTTCAGGGGGAATTTATATGGGTTTACAATATTATTATTGGGCAATTGGGGATTTGTTTTCATCTTGTAAGATTGGATTTTTCTTTTTGGGTTGATCGGTTGCTGTGTATATATGAGCAAGTAAAGATAGGTCATTCTCCTACAGTTTTGCTTTTTATCCTTTCTGCAAGTGTGTCTAAATAGGGCAAGTTTAGATGTAGTTGTGGGCAAGTTTAGATGCAATGTAAATGTGAGTGTTGGGAGCATGATAGAGGCTCTTATAATCTTTTCTAGCGACCTTGTTCAAGTTGTTGCCAAGGTATGTCAACATTCTGTTTCGGGAATATACTGTACTTATTTCTTATCTATAGTCATTTGTTTCATGAACTATGGTGTCATATCTTCAGGGGGTTTTACAGCCAGCAGATGGTGTAAATGGTAATGTTACAGATTACAACGTTCAAGCTGCGGTTACCAATGGTTAAGGCAAAGCACTCTGAAATTTTTTATGTGGATAGCCGACCGAAATAGGTACTTTTAATTTACTTGCAACTTGTTTCATGTGGACTTGACATGTTAAAAATACTAGATTTAATTGCATATTGTACCGTAGTTAATATAATCCCTCACTAAAAGGGCGATGCTTTATTTAATTGAAATACTATGCTAGTGAAACCTTCTTTGTATTATATGGTTCTCTTGGCTCATCAATAAACGAGCCGAGCTCGAGTCGGCTCATTTATTGAAATCTTGATTCATTATTAAGATCATGAGTTCAACTCATTTATTCTAAATAGTTGAACCCTTACAAGAAACTCTAAGATATTTTTTAAATTACATGTCATAATATATGTATGTCATGTATGATACACGCGATTAATGATCTCATACTCGCGAACAAGGGCTTGTGATAGAAACCCGTTCTCCGGGTTCTATCTAATGAAGGAAAAAGGGTTAGAAAATGGGATGGGAGCCTTGATTTGGCTCCTGGTGCTGCTCGAGTTAGATGGGAAAAAGAAGAAGGAAGTGGAAGTGAGGGGGAAGGGGAAAGAAGATGGCTACTACGCAGCCAGAGAGGGAGGGAAGGGGTCGGCAAGGAGAGTAGGAAGAGGGAGAGAATATACTAGGTAATTAGGGTTTAATCTTTTGCTAATCCTCATTCAACGTAGTAAAATAGTTTAAATAAAAATTTCTAATTACCTATAACTACCCCAACTTATTAATCCCCCAATCAAATCCCCCAAATACCCATAAATTCGTAAACAATCATAAACTAACAAATAAGTCCAAATGCTAAATGAATCGGAATGCAGGTTTCTATCATCTCTGCCTCCATCGAATCAACCTTGTCCTCAAGGTTGCCAGTCCTCCACATAATCTTCGCCCCTGCCTTCCGCCGCATCTTCCTCGGCCTCTTCCTCCCATCTTCCCACCAGCATCATCAAGTCCGGCTTCGCACACTTATGCCCAATGGTGAACCGCTCATCACAGTTGAAGCACTTTCCTTCCCTTCTCTTCTGCTCTATCTCTGGTGAGCTTAGCCTGACAAAACCCTTAGTCGGGGCCATAGGCCCAGGCCGTGCTGTCGTGGCTGCTGCTCCCAGTGCCGCGCTAACCCCGCTGCTAGCATTAATAGCGGTGCTGCCACTCCCGCTACTCCCTGCACCTGCATGGCCTCCTCCTCCAGACTTGGGATAACGCCCTATGACGTTCCTCCAGCTTGCCAGCTCTTCCTCCTTATGTCATGCAAGACGAAAAACAGCCCGCAAGGTATCTGGCTCAAAAATCTTGATTGCCGCAGCAATCTCTGTTTTTAGACCTGCCATGCACATTCCCACCAGGGTTTCTTCCGGAACTCCCTTACACTGGTTTCCCAGTTTGAGGAACTCTGCCCGATAATCAGTTACTGACCTGGTCTGCCTGAGCTTGGCCAGCTGCTCCAGCGCCCAGCCCTCTGATTTGCCGAATTGGTAGTGAAGCTCCTCCTGAAATATCGGCCAAGTAATCAGCGTCTGCGCGGTAGCATAGGATCTCTCCAACCACTCCCACCAGTGCAGGGCATCTCCCTCCAGATAGAAGGATGCTAGTTGCGCCTTCCTTTCCTCCGGAGTCGGGTGATTTTTGAACCACCTGTGAGCTGCATATAACCATAAACCGGCGTCCTCCTGACCATTGAATTTTGGAAACTCAATGGTCGGGGGCTTGGCCCGAAACACCAACCCATACTCATCATCATATCGATCATATCCACCATACCTGCCAGCACTGGGGTAGCCTTGGGGATACCCAGGAGGTCCATGTGCGTCACCTACGGAACCCCAGCCATGCCCGTCCTCTCCTGAATAGTCTTCGTACCTCCCTGGTTGACCCCCTGAATCTCCTGCTGCTGCTACTGCGTTCGGAGGTCCGTGTGCACTTGAGCCCTCCAGCTGGGCTCGCCATTCAGCTACTGGTCGGCCATCCGGAGTCAACTCGAACCGGTGTGGTTCACTTGCGGTTCGGCCCACCCCGGTTCGACCATTGGTGGTCCACCCCGCCCCGGTTCGGCCTCTATCGGTCCACCCAGCTCCGGGTCGACCCTCCTCGATCCATCCCGCCCCGGCCAGACCATCAGCGGTCCACCCATCACCGGTTTGACCGGCTTTGGTCCACCCAAATCCGGCCCGGCCGCCTTCGACCCAGCGCAGTCCGGTTCGACCATATGGGCCTGACTGGTTCACCATGAGCCGATCTGCCTCGCCTGCCCGATCGAACCCGCCCCCAGCCCGCTGCACACGGCCCATCTCACGCTCCATGGAGTGTGGGCCCATTGGGTTGTAACACGGGTTCTGGGCCACGTTGTCGTAGCCCGGCATCTTTGCCTTACCACGTATGGCCTCGATCTCCTCAGCCGTCAGAGTCGGCAGCAGCTCGGGCCCATTACGAGGCCCCTCAGTATCGAAGCCCACTCGTTCAACCGTTGGCCGCGACCGTCTCTCCTCCTGGCCCCGCTAGCCGCCGTGACAACCGCCGAGCTCCCTCCTCCAGCGCCCGCGCGAGGGCCCGCCACCGCCGTTGGGCTTGCCTGGGTCGCCTCCACCTCGCCCCGATCTCCACCGCCGAGCCCCAACGCCGCCGACAACCACCTCTGCTCCTCCTGCATGCTGGTGAGGGGTTGCATGATCACGTCACGTTCATGCCTGGCCTTTTCAACCTCAACCTGCACCTCCTCCATGTTGGAGTCGGTCCTCAACTGCATCGCCATGATGGTGTGCATCGAGGCTTGGAGATCGTCATTCTCCGTCTCGTCCACCATGACACCTTCGCGCCGATTGTCTGCCAGCGGCGAGGAAGCCCTGGTCGTGGCCGCCGCCGCCTTGGATCCAGTATCGGACTTCTCTGTGGGAGACTTGGTGATCGCCATGGTTCTGCTGCCAGTCCTGGTGTAGAGTTGCGACAAACTCAGTAGTCGGAATCGGGCTCTGATACCAGATGATAGAAACCCGTTCTCCGGGTTCTATCTAGTGAAGGAAAAAGGGTTAGAAAATGGGATGAGAGCCTTGATTTGGCTCCTGGTGCTGCTCGAGTGAGATGGGAAAAGGAAGAAGGAAGTGGAAGTGAGGGGGAAGGGGAAAGAAGATGGCTGCTGCGCAGCCAGAGAGGGAGGGAAGGGGTCGGCAAGGAGAGTAGGGAGAGGCAGAGAGGATACTAGGTAATTAGGGTTTAATCTTTTGCTAATCCTCATTCAACATAGTAAAATAGTTGAAATAACAATTCCTAATTACATATAACTACCCCAACTTATTAATCCCCAATCAAATCCCCCAAATACCCATAAATTCGTAAACAATCATAAACTAACAAATAAGTCCAAATGCTAAATGAATCGGAATGCAGGTTTCTATTAGCTTGTTCTAATGATACTACCACTGGTCTTAGATTTGAAGGTCTCGAGTTTGAATTCCTTAAATAGCATCTAATAATAAAAAGGAAATATAAGTCTCCTTATCCAAAAGAAAAAAAAATCTCAAACTTTAAGTGTTAAAAGAAAACACTCATATGTTTTCTTTGTATATTACTCAAGGGTCACTACCAACAACTAAAACATGGATTTGGTGGCCCTCCTTGGTCCGGAAATTGTTATCATCGTAAGCCATCCTTCTCCCATGACATTATTGTTGTTTATTATTTAATGGTTAAGAGAACTGCTTCATTTGTTCTGCATAGTAGTGGATAAGTTACCTTTTAAAGCATTCCTGTATGATATTTCTGCGAATCTTTGAGACTCTTGTCAAATATTGCTGGCAGACATCTCCTGGACTTTGTAAGCCAGCCAATGGATTCTGTGATAGGCCTACATCTGCAGATTCCACCTCTGCTAGTGGCACTTCTTCAGGGATTTATATTGCTTCAGATCCTGTGTCAGAGCATAATTCCTTAACGATATCTTCTAATGCACCATCTCCGCAAAGTTCAGAATCCAATAAAAGCTCTAAGGTAAGTATTGATAACCCATAGCGCAATGATTTCGCCCATTCTATATTTTAAGCAAGCAAGTAATATATTCGGGCATGGTATAATCGTGCACTTCATTTTTAATTACCATTCTTCTAATAGAGCTGATAATCATATGATTTCCGATTGAGTATGTTATCCGTTATTGGTATTTAGGAGTTCAAGCTCAATCCTGGTGCCAAGGTTTTTTGTCCCTCTTTTGCGAGTTCTGTGGCAGCACCTTCTCCAGCAGTACTGACACTTGGTGGAATGTCTTACATGCCAAGCAGCTCCCCCATATTACCTTTTCCTGCTCCTCAACCTGAAGTCAACATTGGTCCTTTTGCACCTCGACCTTCTGTCCCTGCTAAGATTACTCCATATACTAACTTGATAGCTGGAAATGGGGGCAACAACTCACAATTTTCACAGCCTGTATGTTCCATTCATTTCTCTTGTTGTTCTTTTTCTCAGACATGTTACATCTCAAGTTCTCAGAACCTTCACATCCCATAAAAAAAAGTTCTTGATCTAGGATGTACCTCTTAAGTTGAACTAGCTCGGTGTAAAATACCTATTGTTATGCATGAGTAATGCATAAATTGGTTATGTATTACTCGAACTGAATAAGAGAAGGGGGTATTTAGAAAAAAAACAACTTAAATTTTCCTGAAAAATGGGCTACTTTGGTGCATGTTATTTGAACCACAAGATGTAAGTAGGCTTCATCATAGAATCTGTGGTACTAGTGCATATATATGAGCCAATGTTTGGAGGGTTTTGTACTAATTGCAGAACTTCTATCTTGATAGATTGTTGGTCACATGGGAAGCCGGACTCTACCACTTAGATATGTTGGTCAGTATCACATTATACCTACTGGACCTGCATATGTGCCTCCAAATTCTCCACCCGTAAGGAAAATGCAAATCTCCTCTAGCATGGCGTTCCTTTTCTTGATAACTGTACTAAAATTAATAATTGAATATTTATTCACTAGATGCTTTTGTACAGTTTGCTGTTTTTTCAATTCATTCAAGTACATCCCTTCTTTTTCTACAGCTTATGGTTGGACGGTTGGTTCAGCAGCTTGTCTACGGGCAGCCAGTTGCCCTTGTAAGATCCACTCTGCCCTTGCGATGGTTGATAACGGTTTTATTTGTCACTAGCATCAACCCTGCCCTTTGGGCAGGTAATGTCTTCCTTGGTTTTGTACCATGTAATTTTTGAGAAGTTAGGGGTGTATTCGGTGGCTGCTTAGTCTCATCCGAGAGGTCAGATAAGGTGTTATAAATAATGATAATTGGTATGATTTCTCTAAAACTCGAATCCAACTCATTAATTTTAAAGGTGGGTAAAACTCACAACCGATCCAAACTCAAAATTCATTAACACTAAATTTTATCAATTTTAACCGGATATGATCGAGTACTCTTGAATCATGGTTCAATTACCATCTCTAGAATTATCCTACGGTATATGTAGTTGAATTGAAGTTAAAGAAGAAACAATTGTTTTATCATAATATATGTAAACTTTTTAAGAAGGTTTATTGTGTCATTAGGAATGGAAATTTGAACCCCATATATGTTCCAGTAGCATTATATTACATATGTTGAGAACCAAACCCATATACAAAATATTTCACCTTTTCCTTTTCATCAAACTCTTTTCAATTCATGATTTTATTAACCTTCCTTTCATGATTTTTATAATAAGCAGCACCGAATTATAAAACTCAACCAAATCTTGGTTGTCTTTATCAAGAATGTGACAAATAATAAGTTGATATCTTCTTAAATTGTTCTTTCATTCAGATTTCTCGTGTTTTTATTTGGTATACAAAAAGTAAATTTAACCAATTTTTTCATGAGAATGTATTAAATGAAAAAACACTTGATGAGTATTTCTAATAACAAATAAGTTATATATTTTTATTGATCGCAATAGAATTTTAATTAAAATGCTGAAAATTATAGTTATAATTTATTTAATTGAAGTTGTTTATGAAAGATTCACTTCTTCCGAATTTATTTTCGCATAAAAAAATAATCATGTTCTAGTCAAAATAGTAACACTTCTATATACATTTATAATCTATTATATCTATGCAATAAAAATGATTTAATATATATTTATAATTAATATATCTAAATTTCTTATAAAAAACACAGTAAAACTTCAGGCAAAAAAATACTTAAAAGTTAAAACCCGTCTCTACACCCTTTAGGAATTATTCTATGAATTCATTAATATGTAGAAAATTAAAATCCCACCAAAGGGTTCCAATTTTACAGAGCAGGGGTTATCTACCTATTGGCTCACCCTGTCACGGCACCGGAGCCGTTTCAGGCTTTCAGCGCAGAAGAAATTAAAGAAAAAGGTAATAACTAAAATGATTCTTGAAGTTGAAATTTGGGGGTGACTGTGTCCAGAACCTGGCAATTGAATGAGTAGATTCGGGGGTGAATCTTTATCTGCGTCTCGTTCCGTCATAATCGAATTCGTAGGCCGACGTCATCTGGACCCTTTTTGTTAAGCAGAAGTGAGGCGTTGTAATTAACAAAGGGATTCAGTCATTCAATAGTTCTTCAGTTGATACTGTAGTGGAAGGAGAATATGAAGATGGCGGCGGTGGACAAAGAAGTGAAGAACTGGACAGTTGCTTGCCGGAGGGTCGGGTAGAGATTTCAGCGATGATGGCTGTGGTGGAGAAGGAATCTTAATTGGAAGGGGAAGGAGATCCATGAAGATTGTTGTCGGACGGTATGGCCGTAAAAGGAAAATTGGGGCCTGTTGGAAAGAAGTGGCGGTTTGTGGTGGGGATATGAAGGATATTTGGGGCTAAATGGAGAGTTTTCGTTGGGTTAGGTTTTTTTTTTTTAACTTTGGTGGATTGTGATTGGCCAAGAGTTGTGCTGACGTGGAAGCATAAGGGGAAGGGAAATTTGAATCCGTGAAGGGTTAAATGAGAAATCCCTTATTATATTCTTTAGATTTATCTCAATAAGCTTGTAGGAGCTTGTTTTGTAGTACGACTATCTAGCTCATATGACTCATATGATAATATATCGTGAGGTAAATTGGTGCATCCGTCTACTAGATTCTGGCTGTTGGTGGTGTCAAATTGGACATATCAATTTGGTGATGTGCTTTAGCTCCCTTCTGTGCTGTCATGCTGAATTTAGGTGCATGAACGAAGACAAAGACATGGAAGCCCTGATCCTATAAAAATGTACAATTTTATCCTGCCAATTCATTCTTGATAACAAATAGTTACAATATGGTTCCCTTTTTTTAGCTATTGACCAACTAACTGCCTCTGTCACTTCACAATGGGAATACTCAAACATCCAAAACTTTAACCAACAGCCCTTAGACCTGACCGATGAACGAAATACACCCCCCAAACTACATCAAAATTTTAAGAGAATGCCAGCAACATACCAAGCCGCTAACCCATTTATGCTCAACTCATATCATATGCCCATGTTTTCATTTAAACCCAACCCATTTGCCACCTCTACATGGAAGCTTCCTATCCTATTAACATGTGTCCTGTGAAATATGTGGTCTAAAACATGCAACCATGAGGTTACTTAGCAATGTGTCCTTTCAACACCCTGCATATGTTGAAAGAGATTATGTACTTATTTTATTGGTTCTTTAACTTAAATTTACATTAGTCGAGGATTCTGTTTATAGTTTCTTGATGTATCCTCACCCTACCACTATCCCAGAACATTTGCATTTAGTTCTCACCGTTTTCATGTTGCAAAAGGATTTACTTCAGAGCATAGGAGGTATGTCACAAATGCAGTGCGACCCTTGATTGGTCCTCACCAGGTTCCATATCCTAAGCACCAAGGTATGGATATCTGCATTTTGAACACCAGTGTTTATGACTGATCAAATGAAGTTGATAGGAATGATTCGGTTTTTTGACCCTGTTGGGTTGGCGGGTTGTATGGCTCGGGGTTCTTATGCTTGTCGAATATCCCATTTTGTGAAATGTAGGGAATGCAGGAATCGGTGGTCAGGGAATGCCAATCTGTATGTCGCCTCAATTTGTGGGTGGTGGTTGACAGCAACCATTTACAATGCTAGGCCACATCCCACTCTTGCCGCCTCCAATCCATGCAAATCATCCCATTCATGTTCCATCATCCAACGCTCTCTTTGGCACCAAGTTCCCCTGAATATTCATCCACTGGCTTTCCCATTCTTTCTTTGCAGCAGGCAATTAAAATTTTTGATCCGTTGGTTAAGTCTATACAGTTCATAGGTAGCCCAAGATTTTCCCATTTTTGCAAATTGTGAACCATCAACTGGAAACGGGACGAACTTGGGGAACGATCTCCAGGAAAAAAAATGTCTCTCCCCCTCTCTTTCCCTCTCCACCCAACCAAACCCAGTAGATTTCTTATCTCCAATATTTCTCCAACTGCCGGTAACAGAGCATTCAGCGTTCAGAGCTGTCAATCAACAACCAAATCTTGTAAAAATAGCAAGAAGATAAGCAGGGAAGTTAATGAAGAGAAACTGCACATTAAAGATGAACCCAAACCAGAAGTAGGAGCAGACCTAAGGAGGTGCTTTAAAGAGCTGACCTCGCAGAGGATGTCAATGCCCCCGCCCCCGAAGCCACCTGAGACCACTGAGGCAATTCAATCCACGGGGATAGCATTTAAGGAAGCGGACAGGGGAGCTATTTGTGTACAAGCTGTATTGGGAAGAGGGAGGAGTTATGAAGGTTTGAAGAAGGCAAGGATCAAGGAAGATCTTGTTTACTGGCTCAACAAGAAGATCTACGCCATAAAGAAAGGAACAATCATCAGAGCCACCAAGAGCTATAAAGACAGACAGAAGAGCAACATCGAAGCACAAGCAAAAGGGATGGAAAATAGAGCCACTAGAGAAGGCCATAAAAGCCAGAGGACTGACTCAAGCCTAGTGTTAACTAATACACAGAGGCAGACTCAAGCCATTAATGCTAAGAAGCGCAGGATGCTTAAATGGAAAGTAAGAGGAAAGGGGTGGAAGAGTCCAGTTATAGAGTCAGTTAGACAACCTCTTCATTCAATTCTCATAGCATTTAATGGCAGCTCCTATGGAGGGTATCAAAGACAGAGGGAGAAGCAGGTCTATTTAAACAGCAACGTCCAGGAGGCATACAACCCCATGCAATCCACTAGCAAAAAATGAATGACCTACCATTTCATCACAAACAGAGAATCCCCCAATACTTGAGAAGCCCCCATACCACCACACCCACAACTAACAATGGAGCCTCATACCCAGAATCTGAGAGGGGAGAGGAGCCATTTGGTGCTCAATGTCAGGCCGACAGTAACAGGGGTCAGAGGAAGTGGAATGGCCAAGCTGCTGGGCAAATGGGTCACGGACGCCAACATCAACATCCAGAAGGCAAAGAATACAGCGGTCAGCAAATGGCGGGCTTACGGCGAGATACAGGCCACAAAAGAATCAGAAAATCTGTTCGTCTATTCGTTCCAATCCGAGAGGCAAAGAGACGCAGTCTATGAAGCTCGACCATGGAACCTGGGAAACACTCTGATCGCCTTGAAAAAATGGGATGGAGAGAAGAAAGCTGAGGATACAGATATCCAAACGGTGACCCTTTGGGTCCAGATGCACGACTTGCCCCAATCCCTCAAAGATGAAGAATCCATTCAAGCGGTGGCGGAGTTCATCTTTCCATACTACTATGGGGTCGACCAGTCCAACTTTGACTTTCGAGGATGGCTGAAATTCATAAGGGCAAAAGTTGAAGTGGAGCTTGACAAACCAATTTCGATCGGCTTCGAATACCCCCTAGGAGAAAGGTCCATCTGGGTGAGCTTCAAATACGAGAGGATCATGGACCTGTGCTACTTCTGCGAAAAGCTAGGCCATCTTATCCAAAACTGCCTAGAGAGAGAAGACTGCCGTAGAAAAGGGTTGAGCACCGACCCATCGGAAGTGTACACAGCAGCTCTGAAGGTAGGGCATGACTCTCCGGCCAACACGCCGCCAGCATCTTTCAGAGAGAAACAAGCTAGAGAGAGACAAAGAGACAAGGCTGACTCTAGGGCCCACCGCCTGAGAGAATCAACTGGAAGATCATCGTTGATGTCGATGGTGGGGCGCACTGGTCAGGGATCTTCCTCCTGCCCACCTGGTTTTGCAGCACTGGAAAACGAAGCAACAACCACGATAAGGAGTAACGAATGGATTGAGAGAGGAGCAGTCAGAAGCCCCACTCTGACCCTGCAGATCGGCTATATGGAAAAAGAAATGGAGGCGGAGACAATTGCGATGCAGAGAAGCGTAGACCTAACTGGAGGGGAGGCGACAAGAAGCAAACAGGCGGGCCTTTTCGAAATGGGCCAGATGCTATCTCTTGCAAGCCCGTTGTACTCACAAAACCCCGGTTTTCAGGCCCATAAGACAGATGTGCAGCAGCCAAGCCACATCGAGCAAAGGACTCTAAGCCCAATCATAGCTACTGAAGCCTTCTCGATTCAAACAATGGAGGAAATAAGACCCAGACCGGAAAAGAAAAGGAAACCGGAGAAGAGGGACACACCCACCTTCTCCCTTCCGCTGCAAGGCACTCCCACTAACATCCCTATTGAGTCTCTGTCTTTTTCACCAGGTGAAAGAAACAAAACCTATCAGAGGAGGAGGCACGTTATCAGGAGAACAAGCATAGCGGAGATCAATGCTGATGGCGAACAGTCTGGGGAAGGAGAGTCAACAACACCAAAGGAAGCGGCGGCAAGCCTTAAGCCACCTCTCCAAGAATGAGGATAATCAGTTGGAACTATAGGGGGTATGGCCAGCCCCTTACAAGGAGTTATTGTGCAGATTATGTCGAAAATTCGGCCCTTCAATGGTGTTCTTGATGGAAACAAAAAAGGATGAGTCCTTTCTTGAAGATAAAAGAAGATCATTGAAGTTTGACCATTCGGATTATGTCAGCCCAGGAGTTGAAGGCAGCGGTTTGGCGCTTTGGTGGAAGGATGATGTTGATGTGTGTGTTTTGGATTCTTGTAAGTCCTATATGGACGTTCGTGTGTGTAAGGAAGGGGTGAGTTTTTTTTTTTTTTTTGCACTTTCATCCATGCTCCTACCACGGCGGTAGAGAGACGGGTTCTTTGGGAACGACTTACGTCCCTAAGAGAGCTCCAGGATGAAAAATGGCTGCTTGTTGGTGATTTCAATGTGGCTTTGGTTCCGTTGGAAAAACAGGGGCGATGCCCCCTCAGGAATGAGAATGTCACCCCTTTCAAGTACTCTATCGAGCAAAATGCCCTCATTGATCTTGGTTTTTCTGGGCAACCGTTCACCTGGACCAACAAACAGCAAGATGCCAGGCTGATTAGAGAAAGGCTGGATCGCGGACTCTACTCCCCTGCCTGGAGGTTGGAGTTTGAGTCCTCAGTGGTTTTCCATGAGGATTTCGTCGAGTCAGACCACTGTCCAATTAGGATTGATTTGAATCCCAAAAGAAGGAAAATCAATACCCTGTTCAGGTTCGATAAAAGATGGAAGGAAAACGAGACTTGTGGTGAGATTATTAGCAACTGTTGGAATTCAGGGAGAGAGTTCACTGTATCCTCAGGGATTGCAAGGAATAAATATCAACCTGGGCCAGAAAGGAAAGAGCCAGTAAATGTCTTAGAGAGAACGATATCAAGAAGAGGCTTCAACAGGTGCAAGGGCCACACAGAACTATCCAAATGAAAATGGAAGAGAATTCTCTTCACCAGGAACTACAGATGATGTGGAACGAGGAAGAAGAGTTCTGGGCGCAGAGATCCAGAAATTCATGGCTCCAAGAAGGGGACCAGAACACGGGGTTCTTTCATGCCAGCACAATCAAAAGGAAAAACTCAAATAGAATCAACAAACTGAAGAGTGATCAAGGAATCTGGATAGAAGACACGCAAGAAATGGATGACCATATCAATTCCTTCTATCGTGGTCTTTCATAAGTCGAGGAGGCACTTTCGATCTCTCTATCCTCGATGGCTTCCCTCGAATGGTCACGGTTGAGCTAAACAATGCGCTCACCACACCGATTACGAATGAAGAAGTCCGGAAGGCGGTGTTCCACCTTGGAGCCAACAAAGCGCCAGGCCCTGATGGCTTTCCAGGATTCTTTTTCCATAAGTTTTGGAACTTACTGGGCAAGGTGTTCTGTGAAGAGATACGTGGTTTCTTCATGTCTAACATTTTGCCAGAAGAGTGGAATGACACCTTCATCACTCTCATCCCAAAAATCTCGAATCCCGAGATGATAGGACAGTACAGACCTATCAGTTGCTGCAACTTCAGATATAAGGTCATCACAAAAATCCTTACCAACAGGCTTCAACCATTTCTCCCTGATCTGGTTAATGAACTCAATCTGCCTTCACCGGAGGCAGACAGATACAAGATAACATCATCATTGTTCACGAGGTCCTCAATCACTTCAAGAAGCACAAAACAGGGAATCGGAAGGACATGATGCTGAAACTTGATATGAAGAAAGCATACGACCTTGTTGAATGGGAGTTTCTCATCGAGCTTCTTCGAGCTTATGGTTTCAACGAGGTGTGGTGTGGTTGGGTCAACACGTGCATCAGTTCTGTTAGGTTTCAACTCTTGATTAACGGGGAACCATCTACTATGTTCCTCCCTACTCGAGGATTACGTCAAGGGGACCTGCTGTCGCATCTTCTCTTCATTCTGATGTCTAATGCACTCTCCTTCTTGATTGAGAAAGCGGCAAAAAGTCATGCCATCCAAGGACTGCAACTCAATCGAAGATGCCCCAACCTCACACATTGCCTCTTTGCGGATGACACGGTGATCTTTGGGGAAGCATCTACCACAGAAGCGGACAGTATTTTGAAGAC